GGCGCTGTGTAGTTTACGTGGTGACTCAGTGGGTAACACTGGCACCTCACACCCCTCCGCTTGGGCTCTGTGTAGTTTACGTGGTGACTCAGTGGGTAACACTGGCACCTCACACCCCTCGGCTTGGGCTCTGTGTAGTTTACGTGGTGACTCAGTGGGTAACACTGGCACCTCACACCTCCCGGCTTGGGCTCTGTGTAGTTTACGTGGTGACTCAGTGGGTAACACTGGCACCTCACGCCCCCCGGCTTGGGCTCTGTGTAGTTTACTTTCTCTCCCCATGTTTCCCCAGATGCTCTGGTTTCCTCCCAGTCCCAAAACATGCGGTTAGGCCAACTGGCATCTCTGAATGTCCCCTCGCATGTGAATGTGTGTTTGCTCTGTGATGGACTGGCATCCTGCCCAGGGTGTCCCCTGTCTTGTGCCCTGAGCTCCCTGTGACAGGTGCCAGGCTCACCATGATGGATGGATGGATTTTTTTGTACATTAATTACATTTTATCAGAATAAATGACTTGCACATATACTACATAGAAAATGTCTACTTACTTTTCTTTTTTGGCCAACCCTATAGTTAAAAAAAATTCAGTTAACAGTGTTGGAGCTCAAAATACTAAGACATCAATAGGAGCTTATTGTAGCTGCCAGAATACATGTAATGAGTAATGATGATGTGTAATGAGAACTAATGACATATTTATATGCATATTTATAATTATTATAAAATAATAATTACTGAGAGTGATCGTTTTCTGTATTACATAGACACATGTGCTGTATCACTGAGGATGTTTATATCATCTCCCCATTAATAGTCAGGCTCCCCATTACAGCCTCAGTGCCCCCTACTGGCCAGGAGGCCATTACAGTCCTACACCACTGAAACAGCATCATAAAGGAAGAGCAATAAAGCTCAAAAGAATTAAAGCAGCAGTGATATGAAATGTTACATATTGAGCCAAACCATACAGTGAATACATAATGATGTGGTTACAAATGTAATATTCATCCAGGTTAAGTGCTGAGCATGTGGAGATGTAAACAATGACTGGAAAGCTACAAACATGCTGGAAAAGTCCCAGTACACATATTCAGCATTTATGGTAAGTTATGCATCATATCTCTGTTATACTTACAGTATGCAGACACCTCTACAACAAACCAGCCAAAGAGGAAGACAGACCCAGAAATCAGGACAATCAGCCGTAGATCCAATGGCTGTTTTCCTGTGTCTGAAATGACATGATCACAACAATCACTGAGAACTGAGGTCAGTAAATGAGCAGTAAGTGACAGATATTAAACCACAGGAATCTATATTTTTTCCTAAATGGTTTGTACAATTTAGTTGTGTGGTTAAGTTTACATAGTAAAAGTAAAACCTCAAATTTATAGTGTATTTACCTGCTTTGAGTTTTAATGCTACAGCCAGAGCAACAGAATTCAGGAGAGGGAGACCAAAAGCCCCAGAGAAATATACATATTTACGGGGTTTGGCTGAAAGGTAGAGAGAAAAGCATCAGTCATACAGCTACATACAGCACTGTGATGAAGTATTTGCCCTGATTCCCTCTATTTTTAACATCCATAACACTT